CAAAAAGCTTATGGATGGAGGAACAAGTGTGGCCCTTGTGACGCAGGGGCGGGGGAACATGTAGCCATCCAGATGTTGTTGGACTAAGACTCCCATAATTATTATCACAGTGGTACGTTGGTTCTCAAACTTAATCTGTTCCGGAAGTCCGTTCCAAAACCAAAGCGTTCCAAAACCAAGGCGCGCTTTACCATAGAAAGTAATGCAAAATGGATTAATCCATTCCAGACTTTTAAATACAACCCCTAAAACAGCAATTTAACATGAATTGTACTATCTAACGAGACCACTGATCCATAAAATGAAAGCAATAAACAGTGCACTGCAGTCAATCAATCAGTAGCTGAACTGGGTTCCACACAGTCATAGTCACAAAACAAAAATGCACTGCAAAAAACAAAAACACAAAATAAATAGCAAAAACAGGCAGACCTCAGAATACACTGGAAGCAGAAGTGTGGCACTCAAAACAGAAGCGTAACACTCAAATTGGAAGTATAACACTTAAATTGGAAGTATAAAACTCAAATCGGAAGTATAATACTCAAATCAGAAGTGTAACACTCAAAATGGAGCACGTTCAGCTTCCAAAAAAAAGTTCGCAAACCGGAACACTTACTTCCAGGTTTGCAGTGTTTGGGGTCCAATTTGTTTGAGTACCAAGGCATTTGAGAACCAAGGTACCACTGTACTACTTCTTCTTTACTAAATTTGTATGCCGCCCTTCATTTGCAGATTTCAGGGTGGTTCACAACATAAAAATGCAATATTTGAAACACCAGATGCACTATAAAAACAAGAACGAAAAACAAACCAACAACCCTTTGGTCATTGACTATTGGCCACACAAAGCTTCCCACATGCTCAGCCAGGGTCGCTGTGGGACCTACCTGCTTGCCAACTCCTCTGGTTATCTCAACAGGAGGACTGGGCACTGATATCGGCCAGTAGGTGGGATGGTTCCATGCCCTATCCCACACCAAACCAGAGGTGTGCTGCTACCAAGAAAGCTGTGGCTCTCTTTAACCCCACACTCTTGTCTCTGGCTTATCATTGCTCCCAGACTCTGAACACTGATGTGCCTGGTTCTCAAAAGAAGTCCTCTCTCTGTTGCTATGTTTGAATGGGATCATGAGAATGAAAAAAAGCCTTCTGAAATAATGTTTCCTTTGGACACAATGGCTGCCCTGAAGTTTGCTGAAATGTTTCACTGCAATGCAATCTCCCCGAGCCCTCGCTTGACTACTTAAATTATATAATTGCTAAGAAGCTTCGCTTGACTTATTCTCCAGAGTGGCTGATTACAGCAGCCTGCTTGACACTCTGAGGAAGATGCTTCCTCAGGCTGTAATGGGCCTGAAATATCACCACCACTCTTTTTGGCTTTCAGAAAGGATGCGTGGCAAATCTTGCAAATAAGAGGGTTTTAATGGACACCTACAAACTAATAGGAAATATTTTTGTAAGCAAGTTAAATTGGGAAAAGTCATCGCCGTAATGAGACCTAATTTTAAGCAATGACATTTTAATAATATCCCTGTGCCTGCACAGATCTGTAGTTCTTGATTTCAAAACAAGGCTTTTAATTTAAATGCAAATGGCAGTGACTATTTACCTCTCTGACCCACTGGGATTCCTTTCTCTTCCTCAAGCAGTCAGTTTTACAGGCAGGTTTTATCTTAAACTGCCATAAAATCTGGGTGCCTATGAATCCCTTTAAGGGTACCCCTGGAATACAAGTGCACTGAAGCCACCAACTGACTCATCAACAGAAAAACTCCTTTGTATACCAAAAGGTCTCAGGCTCAATTCTGGGCAACTCTGGTGAAAGGGATCAGGTGATGGAGACTGCATTTGAACAAGACCCTTGACAGTCACTGCTAGTTAAGAGTAGAAAATACACAAACAGCCTGAGCTGGCAGGAGACAACATTTCTGTGCTTTATAGCTGCTGGCAATCAAAACAAACAAGCAAGAAACCCAGCCACCCAAGATTAATCTTTAAAAAGAACATGGCACAACAATGCCATTTTGCACTTCTTCCTTCCACTCTATCTGGGATGCATCAGGCCTTTAGCACAATTAGTGGAAACTCATGGACTGGCCAGATCCTGCCACGGTATGTCTTAGCCTTCACTGTTTTACTGGATCCTCATGGGACTCACTGGGTTATCTAAATAAACATGAACTGTCATGCTCTGGACATGGCACCAACCCTTAGCATACTGAGAACATATTTTGCCACAGGGTCTACTGCATTCAGTTTTGCTTCAGAGGCTGAGTTTTATGTGAGCATCTATCATGTAAGATACATAACAACAGGGTCAGGCGCAGACCTGGTGGGAAGACTCTAGACTACAGTGCTGGGGGACCTCAGATAACTGGATTCTCAAAAATACAATGAAAACCTCTGTACTGTGATGTACAGGCCGGAACTTTTCTCCTTGACAACTACTGTTAGGGAGGGACCAAGGAATCAAGGCCCCAGGGTTTTTGTATTTGCGTGTTCAGACCTTTAAACCTCCCCCTTAAATAAAATCAAACAATACTCAAATTTTGGTTTGGTTTTTGGCAGAATTTAGACCACAACTTTATTGATTACAGCAAGTGAGTGGTTACATAGGCTCTGGTTCGACTAGCTCCCTGCACCGTTGCAGGTAGCACTGACCCAGGGCACCAACATTGGTCAGCCTAGGGTGAACACCTAGATAAGCGGAAAGCTGGGAACAGGCTATCTCCACCACCCAAATGCCCCCCTGGACTCAGACACGGGCACAACCCCCTCTCAGGGGTTGACCAAACCACCGAGTCCCTGGATTCCTTTAATGAAATACCCTTCACATAGGGATGGCGAGAACATTCTCTCATCCCTATCACCTGAACCAGAGCCTATCTACAACCTTACAAGTTGTGACGATTTGCTACGTGGCAGTCGAAACCCAAATGGCACCAGCTAATCAGCCAAGTGGGGGAAATTCCTGCTGTGCCCCTGTTCCAATGACAGATGACACACGACGGCATAGCAAGGTCAAGTGCACAAACCCTAAAAGTAAGGAGAAGTGGGCGGGTGTTCCGATGCACACACCGAAAGAGGAAGCTCTGGGTCACGTGCATAGGTGACGGATCCCTTGATCCGTTTAGCCTGCATCCCATTGGCCTGATTAAACCCTACATCAAGGGACCTACCAATTGGGTGTTGTGGCTATCAAATCTTACCCACCCACAACACAGAGTTTGGTTGCCAGGTCCCACCGCAACATGTGCCCCCTTTAAGGGAGGACCCGATTTATTGAATTTATATGCCGCCCTATACCCGGAGATCCCAGGTTCAATCCTGGCATCTCTAGATCAGGTAAGCAAGTGTGAGGAAAGACACTTGAGATTATTGTGAGCTGCTGCCAGACAATATTGGGCTAGAAGAGCAGGTAATCGGACCTGGTACAAGGCAGCTTCCTATGTCCCTGAACAACAATATGGATGAAGTTCACCCATCCCACACACAAAAAAGATGTGGGAAGGACCATAGGTTAGTGGCAGAGCACGTGTTTGTATTCAGAGGAGGCCAAGCCCAACCCCAAGAAGCTGGAAAAGTCTTCTGCTAGAAACACAGAAAGCTAATGCAAGTCGGAGTAGTCAGTACTGAGTTAATTGACCAATGGTCTAGCCTGGTATGAGGCCAAGATAGCAACTAGGCCAAATAGGACTGGGTCCAGAAACACACAGACAGACAAGTGGGAAATAAACAAAACTGATTTATTAAAGGAAGCATCAGGCTAAGAAGAAAGGTCAAGCAGATGTAAGGTTTATAAACGTGGTGATCAACAAGGCATATTTTTAGAGGCAGAGTTCACTATTAGATGCAGACAGGTCTTTCCTTGGGCATGTGTTATATGAGAAGCAAACAATAACAAATAGCAGAATTAAACGCCATTCCTTCCTGGTGACCTGTGTACTACGCTTAGGGTGAGCTAGTCACATCACAGTTTGTGGCTGGCACACGTAGGAGGCACAGATATCTAAAATTCGGTGGCTCCTCCAGGCAGAAATGGTTTTCAAGAAAACAACTGGCATGATTTCCTACGTGGGAACTCCTGATGCTCCTGATATGGCGACTCAGTGTCATGCCAAAAGGAAAAGGGGAAGGTGCAAGAAAGGAAATGCAATGTATCATGGGATGGTGCCTTGTTAACATCATACCAGGACTGTAGGCAGGACTGGTCTCAAGAGACAATGCAGTGCACCTCCAGGGATGAAGACAAACAGAACCGAAGTGACCTCCCTGGTGCGCAAGCCTGGACAGTGTGTATGGAGGTCCTAGGATGACCAGACAACAAGAACCCCCTCTTGGCCTCACTGATGTGGTCCACAGAAAAGCAGAGCAATACGTTGGGCATCAGCTTAGCTTCAGGAAGGAGGCATACCAGGCACCATCCAACCATTTTAGAGACTCCACTCCAGATTTGTGTAAGGTTTACTTCTTGGCCTTTTCTCCTCCTGAAGTTGTCCTGCAAGGCAGTGGAGGTTTCGGATCTGAGTTTTCCTTATCCAGGATGGGCTCCCTTCCAAGATTCGCACGTCCCACCTGCCCCATGACACCCTCACCTTAGCATCAGCTTCTCAATTCAGCATCTCAAGCTCAGAGCTGCTTATCAGTCTAGTCTCCTTTGTTCTATGGGAGTCGCATCCAGCCTCAGGGTGGTGCATCACATTCCCATAGATACATAGCTATGGCAGGTTGGCTCTCTAAAAAAAGGAGGCTGAGAGTTCCAGCAGCCAGTCATGTTTCTCTGCAATTTATCTTTGCTCACCTTCTAATTCAGTCTGCCAACATCAGTTGCTGCCAAGTTCCCTCTTCCCTGTTTTTTGCCTGCTCCATGTTCCCCCAGAAAGAAATTATCTAGCCTCCGATTGGTGGGCTTGGTTTCTAGCCAAGTCTGTGCCTTTGTCCTTTTCCTGAACTGCTCATGACTTCACATTGTCTGCCTTCTTCAAGATCCTGATTCTGCCAGCTTGTATTAAGACTGCTCATGACCTGGATGCAATTCACAGGAGAGCATCTATGTGTCGTGAACAATGTGTTTACCAATGACTTCATTTTGGTCCTTTTTATTAACTTGGGAGCCTACCGGCTGGCTCTCTCATATCTTTTAATGCAAAATAAGAGAGCTAACCTCAGACTAAAGACACCAATCAGAATAAGAACCACACAGCAGTTTTGAAATTAGGATACGGAGTGAAGATAAAAATAAAAACGTCAGCATCATGCATGTTTTCAGTCAATTTACATTACAGCAGGGGAGCAGGGTGCTGAACTTTCAGAAGGAAAGTTCTCTCTCAGATAGGTGAATGGGCAGCCATGAAATCAAACAGCACATGAACTACGGTATAAATACAACAGCAAAGTGACGCTTTGCTGTTATGTACGGATGGGTTCTGAGCAGGCAGAGACTGATCAGGAAAGGAACTGAGGTTATAATCATCACCACTGGTTTATTTATTGCCTTCTAAAGAACTGTCTCAAGGCAATTACACGTTTCATTTTGCAAACTGCAAATTTGATATATCCAGCACCTCGGGAGGTAGTGGACTCTCCTTCACTGGAGGTTTTGAAACAGAAGCTGGACGGACACCTGTCGGGAGTTCTTTAGCTGTAATTCCTGCATTGCAGGGGGTTGGACTAGATGACCCCTTGGGTACTTCCAGCTCTACAGTGCTATGATTCTACAAAATGCAAACTGAATCCATTTCCTTCCCCCTCCCTACAGAGAGCTGAATGGCAGGCTGAAATTCAACAGGTGGGAGTTTGGCCAGCATGAAGGTGAAATCTCCATCTGTTGAATATGGGGATAGTGCCTTGCTGCCAAGTGATTTTATAGCTAAAGTGAACTGGGGAACTTTCCTGCACACAATTTAGTCTGCTACAACACACCAGCTCTCAGTGATGCTGTAGCCACAGGGCTCCCTCATCAGCAAGGGCTTCAACATTGTGCTTCAAATTGTAGGGCTAAGCTGTACAGGTGTAGAATCATCGCATACACAGCCCCATCCATTCCATCCAAGTGAATGGGGCAGTCCAAAACCAAAGGCTTCATGTACAAGGAAAACTGCTTCCATGAATACCTAAAGATCTCGATCAGTTCAGACTAGAGCTTGTTTGACCCTATGACATAAAATTTATTAAAGAGCTTACAGTAGACAATACTCCTTTCCCAGCTGCAGCCAAAGGTTGCTTGGAACATATTCTCATGATGACAGGGTGTTGGACAAAAGGAATGTGTATGAGAGATGTCAGTTAAGGGAAGGAGTGTCTAAGATGTTGAGAGAGAGAGAGAGAGAAATAATCACTTGTGAAAGCAAAACCCTCCATTGCTTGATGCTGAAAAAGCTGCAGGGGGCAGTGTCGGGTAGGTTACTTTTATAGGCGAGGAAAGAGTATATGATATAGGCACACTTATTAAGTGCCCTTTCTCAGTGCCCCCTCTTTTGCATGATCAGCAACAAAGCCTTCTGTAGTGATAGGTTGTATTTGTTCAGAATGACACCCACTTTCCTCAGTGTATGCAATTGTACAGGGCAGCCACATGGAGCAAGGAAACATCTTTGTGAGCACTTAACCAAACTGGGGTTTCTTTTCCTCCCATGCAAGGGGAGATTTTCAATATTCCATATGCTATTTCTTTTCTTTTCGTGCTCTCGGTGTTGGGATCTGTTTCACAGCTTCAGCAATATCCAAATGTAGCCAACAAACCCTCCCAACATCTCAAATACAAGAAAGAAGCCAGAGTGAGTTAGATGTGTAAAACCAGCATTTAGGGCGTATCTATAGGATAACAAACATAATTGTTTTATTCCAGTTGTGGAACCCCTCCAAAGTAACCAGGAATGCTAAAGCTACTCCTGTTTGGGTTCCCCTAGAGATCTGCTGCACTTAATGAATGTGAGCTTGATTGAACCAAAAACCTCTCCTTGATCACTCCCAAACCTCTCCCTTGCTATTCTCCTACAGATTTCCTGGAGGGTTAAGGTTCCCAGGATTTCCTGGGAAAGAGGAACTGATCATTTAGGTTTGTGGTGTAGTTGTGAAACAAAAACAAAGATGAGACAATTGGAATTATTTACAGTTCTCAAACTTTACTGTTAGCTTTTAGTACTTTACTGTTAGCTTTTAGTAAGGCATTAAGCTCCCTAGAAGGAGGTAGAGATACAAATAGAATAAACAAAAATAAGTCCATAAAAAGAGATGCATTTCAGATGGGCAGCTGCATTAAGTCTTTAGCGGTGCTGAAAAATTCTGCAGCAAAATTCTGCAGCAAAAAATTAAGACATTTACTGAAGCGCACACATCTAGCATGGGCCAAAGCCTTTCATAAATGAGAGAGTGGAACTCAAATGGGACTGGGGGTTACGCAGCTGAAATGCTAGCCATGAAGAAGGATCTATATCATACAGATTTTGACCAATGGAAAAAAGTAAAGTATTTTGCATTGAGGAAGTGGGTGCAAAATCTAAACTCCTGAGGATGGGCTCAGCAGCAGAGGAAGCCTCTTGGGTGCCTGGGACGGCACACCCAGGGGTGGGGCAAGCTGCCCATTGGGGCAGGGTGCACTGCGGGGCCTCCAGAGTCTGCCTGCCTCCTCCCACTCAGCCGCCCTACAGCTGAGGGGGAGGCAGCGGACGGATCGTTTGGGGTAGCGCAGAGCCTGCAGGCGCCCAAGCCACCGCGTCACTCCCAGGAGAGGCACATGGCTCAGGTGCACTGCAGGCCAAGTGGTGAGTGCCGCCTGGTGTGGCGATCACACAGGGTCCCTGGACGTTTCACTGTCTATTGATCCCTGTGCCACCACTTTATTTCTCGCTGCCACCACCCAGGCCCTACCTGGTACAATACTGAGTCCAGTCAGGGTTAAATTGGAACATAAACTTCTGTTTATTTATTGCAGTTTAACAAGCGTGTGGTTTCATAAACAGTATCAGTCAATTACAATCATGGGGTGCCTATCCAGACCTATAACTTCCGCTACCTGCTCTCACTCACTAAACCACCTCTCAGATATTTACTTGTCTTCCTAGCCCCTAACTGTTCCTGACTCAACCTATTTCGCTACACTAACTCAACCTACCCACAGACTCTATCCCAATTCACTCCCACTCCAACCAACCACCCAACTCCCAACAAACTCCCCCCTTCGCCCCTCCCAGAGCTGGTTTTATAGTCCCTCTGACTCCACCCCCCCGGGTTCTGATTGGGTAACCTGTTTAACTATTTTACCTCCAGCACTCTCATACGTTAACATCACACCTGGCATTTTGTCACCCCCCTCAGTGGTGACACCCGGGGCAGCCCGCACCTACCACACACCCCTTCCTCTGCCCCTGAATGGGCTTCCTGCAATTCCCTCCTACTACCTGTCTTAGTAGTGGTTAATTCTGCTCCTTGTGCCTTCATAAACCTCAGTCCTAATTTCAAAAACACCATTCAACATTACACTGTGATTTCAGAAGCATTCTCAGGGCACCAGTTATTGAAACATTTGCCTGGAATGGAAATAAATCCCATTGTACTCATGCATATAGGATGGTAGCACAAGTCTCTCCATTGGGATTCCATACACTGAAATGTAGGCTTTGAATGGTGGGGGGAGGAGTTAAAAATGTATTCCTTTCCTCCTCCCCCCCCACCTTTTTATGCTCTAGGTAAAACAGTCCTTAAGGTTAAACCAATAATGACACTCTGTGAACATAAAGTATTGAAATTTACTGCCAAAAATATTTGAACTGTGGTTTTTATCGCTGTGGAGAGACAGGAGTCTCAAGAGATGCGAGACACTTTCAAGTGGAAAATGACTTCCCCGTTCCGCCCCCCCCCCTTCCTGAGGTCTGCATGTATGGACAGAGAAGTATTTGGCATAAGGTAAATATTCTGGCACCTCTTGAGTGAGGGCTGGGGGAGGATGGAAGTGAACAGCCTATTTGTTTGACCTAATACGCATGACTTTAAAATGCCATGCGTAACATTGCAAAGGAAAAATGGCATGACCCAACTTGTCTAGTGGTACAGACATTTGCGAATGAAAGCTACAGGCATACAGCAAAAATGGGGAGCAAGGGCAAAGCTCAGGCAAGCAAGCTACCAGGGTGGTTGTGTGTGCGTGCGCAAATAAATAACATGCTTGTAGCCATCCCTAATTTCAAATCATAGCGAGCTCCACCCTCTCCACTATTAAACTTTGCCAGAGGCGCTTAACCTCCTGCTGCCTGCTGTATTTATTTACTCAGTGACAGCCATGTGCTCTGCTAGTGTCAAAGCCAAGAGGGTAACAAGATCTTTTAATTAAAGTTATATTGGGGGGATTAAGATTTATCGCAGCAGCTGCAGTATGCCAAATGAGAGGCTGTGCAACACGTGATGTTTCCGTGTACATGAACATGGATTTCCTCATTCACATATGCATAGTCCCCTCACTCATTCACCCTCCTACTTCAAGAGGGACGCGAAGAATCACAACGCTAGCAAATTCACACTGACTAAATGTGGGATAACCTGCCTCATAAAGTTGACATGCTTGAGTCTAATTAATGCATGAAGGGGTTAATGCCATAGAGTAAGCTGTCCTGCCAAGCTTAGTTCACCTTGATAAAATACCTTGGTATTTTCACTACCACACCATGTGCATCTTTGTACCCATTACTTGAACCGCATCGCAAAATTCGGAGAAGTCCACATTTCAAGGGATGGTTGTTTCAGTTCGAACCTTGTTCAGAAAGTGTGGACGAGACAGGCATATCTCTCAATGCAAACAGAATCAAATTCCTCCCGCAGCCCAAATCTGGTGCCGTTGTTTTTAAACCAACCGGTTATAAGAAGAGAAGAAGAAGAGTTTGGATTTGATATCCCGCTTTATCACTACCCTAAGGAGTCTCAAAGCGGCTAATAATCTCCTTTCCCTTCCTCCCCCACAACAAACACTCTGTGAGGTGAGTGGGGCTGAGAGACTTCAGAGAAGTATGACTAGCCCAAGGTCACCCAGCAGCTGCATGTGGAGGAGCAGGGAATCGAACCCGGTTCACCAGATTACGAGTCCACTGCTCTTAACCACTTACACCACGCTGGCTCTTATAGGTACTGAATGCTTTAGAAATTCTCCTTCGCTTCTTTCGGAGTGGTTCTGTCAGATCAAAGAACAGAGAGAGGGGACTCCTGTCAGTTTGACGCAACCTCCCTCCATCCCTTCCTATCTCTCCTCGAAGGCAGCAGACTCACCGGCTCTGTGCCAGGTTCTTCTGCCAAGGTCGAAGACAATAGCACGCTCTGTCCTCCTGCGGAGAAGTCGTGCCAAATAGCAGCAGATGGCAGGGTCCAATACTGTAGTCACTGCACCACAGTTGGCAAGCTGGAAAGATCGACCTCCCTGGTTAATTTCCTCCCTCCAGTCTCCGCACTTAGGCTGCCAGAACCTGAGCTGAAGGGTCTGTGGCATTTTTCATAATCACCCCCAGAGAGAAGGTTTTCAAGAGCAGACTCTCCCCTTGCCCACAAATGGAGTATGGGCTGGCGAGAAAGCTGCTTCAGTAAGTATGTCGCACTTACAATTACAGATCATGGGAGCAGCAGACATCTGCCTAAAATCAATAGCTCCTTCCCTATTCCCAGGGAGTAAATCATTCCTTTTAAAGGAAGAGTCGCCAGTTTTGCAGGCCCTCTGCAGTTGGTAGGGCTCCAATTACCTTTAAATGCTTCCAGCAAATGTCTCCCATTCTACGCTTTTGGTTTAAAAAGTTGCCCTCACATTTTCATTTTCAAAGGCAGCAGGTACTACTGAATTGTTAAGACTAGACAGAGACTACAAGGCAATGCAGAGTTGATTGCCGTGGGCCCCAGAGCGCACTAAAGAACACGTTGGACTGTGGCCTAAGTGCGTGTGCTGAGTTCTGAATTTATGTGTTCCTAACAACTTTCCAGATTAATCAGGACAATGACATGGCAATAAGAGAGGATAGTAACCAGTCTTGATGCACACAAGATCAGTCTTAAATAACACCACTCTCCATTCCTCCTTTCACATCCATTACAGATGAAATTCCTGAATCAGTTGGGACTGCAATGCTTAACTGATAAATTGATCTCTGAAAGCTTTCAACAGAAGAAAAGGTTGCCTGGATTAACTGGGTATGCACTGGCTTGGTCATGTACACAGAATGGAAGATGGCATAATCCCCAAGGACCTGTTCAAGGGGAGCTGGCTTCAGGCACTGGGCCCATTGGCAGACCAACTCTGTGTTACAAAGATGTCTGCAGATGTGTGCTGCGCCTGGGGGTAACCAGAGCAACGCGGTCCAGGTCTGGTCCCAAATCCAAGGGTTCCACGAGGAGTCAGTGAGGCAGGAAACCAGGCAAGGTCAGGCACAGGGTAACAGGCAGGTTCCGGCAAGCAGCAATGTTGCTCCCGCAACCTGGGGTGGGGTCCTGCAGTCTTTTATCTCTGACTGGGTAACGGCCAGTCCTGATCCCCCGATGACTTACCTCCCTGTCTCGCCCAACGGCGAGCACTCCTCCTGCGAGTACTCAGGTCTCTCCTTCTCTCAGACCTCAGTCTCTGCAGCTCAGGAGACGTCGAGGGGTTACTAGACCCAGAGGCCGCCTCAGCCTCTCCTGACCCAACTGGTAGTGGAGCAGCTGTAAGTGATTGCCCGGCTGAAGGCAACGAGGTAATCCCCGCATCTGGAGCCAGGGCAGGCTCAGGCCCCTGACTCGGCCCAACTGGTGCTTGTTGCAGGGGAACCTGTACAGACTGGGGCTCTTCAGAATCAGGCCCCAGACTAGGTTCAGCAGCTGCCTGAGGCAAAGGATCCAGTGCGGACTGAGACTCCTCTGGCTCCGAGTCCCAGGCCATCACAAGATGCAACATGAAGATTGGCAACATTAACCCTGCCATGTGGGAATCCCTTGCAGATGACCACAGTGCCTGGATGTAGACAGGTCGTGTGAGTGACCAGAGGAAGAGTGACCACTAGGAGGAACAGAGAGAGAAGAAACGCCATGGTGCATCTGCAGCAGCAGAACCAGAAGCCTTCATCTGCCCCAGCTGCAACAAAACATGTCTCTCCTGTATCGGTCTCTACAGCCACAGCAGGCGCTGCAACCTTCCAACAGTTTGACTTCAGCCCAAAGGCGTGCTCCTCCATCGTCTCCCGAGTCAAATGGATGCCAGCAACAATGTGTGTATGCATCCATCCCTTTTTAATGCATATATATTATATCTATATAACTTTTTAAAAATGTAAGAGCGTACAAGATAGCTTTACCACATCTTTTTCAGTTGATAAGGTCTGGCATGTGCCATTGAAAGCTAAGCATGCCCTGTTTGGGCAGATCCAGTTGTGGCATCATTGGGGCCATGCAAAGGTCACTTGAATGTCAACGTTACCTGTGGACTAAGCAGCGTTTCGAAAGAAAGGATCATAGTTCAGCGGTAGAGTACATGTTTCGCTTGCAGAAGATTCTTGCTTCAATCCCTGGGATTTCTATGTATGGCTGGAAAAGACTCTGCCAATTAGTGTTGGCAATACTGAGCTAGATGAACCAGCCATCTGGCTTGGTATAAGGCACCTCCTATGTGTCAGGAGCTCGTCCTACACTCGAGTAGGACCCTGGCAGAGACACATCCCCAACTGGCATGTTCTCTCCCTCCTGGTCTTTCGTTCAGGAGCTTCAAAAGCTTTCTTCTGCCCAAACATCACAGCAACCGATGCCAACAGACATCAGCACACTTAGGGATCTGAAGAGTCTTCGCAGCTTGCATAACAGACCTCAGCAACTCAGCATTTTGGCTAATCTACTTTATTTACATATAAACACCCATGGAGCACTGCAACATGGCTCCCTCTCTCTCTAGCATCAGACAGCAAAGAGAAGGAACAAAGGACAATAGTTCCACTTCACGGAACACAGTAACACAAACATCCTGTCTCTATCACTTCCCACTCTGTGGAGTCAAAACATACACCGTCATGGGATTAACAAAAATCCCATGACTGCAATCATGGAGCAGGAATTCTAACACTATGTTCCTAACTGTCTATGCTATGGGTCGGCAAACTAAGACCTGCGGGCCAGATCAGGTCCAATTGCCTTCAGGATCCGGCCTGCGGACAGTCCGTGGATCAGTTGGGGATTTTGTTCATTTGGGCTGGGCTGCACCATTTTTTTCCCCTGCGCTGTTCCTCCCTCCCTCGCACACACCGCAGCAGCGCCTCCTCCCTCCCTCCTCCTGGCTTCTCCCCGCCCTGCCTAGAGGAGGAGGGAGGCTGGGCTGAGCTGGCTGAGTGCCATTTTAAGCAGCCCCTCTCCAGAGCCAGCCCTTTCATGTAGCTCATCTACCCTCCATTGCCACCCTAGTGCTCCTGTGAGCCAGAGAGTGGAGCGGATGAGCTCGTTCTGCCTACCCACGAGAAGCAGCAGCGGTGGTGGCGGCAGCCCCTGGGAAGGTAAACACAGCGGCTGGGGCTGGGGGGTGGGGAGGAGGACTACTTTGCCTCTTCTTCCAGCCCCACGGTGCTGCTTCTCCGGCCCTCCACAAGGTCTGAGGAACAGCCCGTTGTGGCGTCCGTACGGAGCCCCCAGTTGTCTCACGGACTATTGACCCGTACACCATTAATCCACTGCCACCAACCAGGTCCTCCCTGGTAAAATCACTTCAGTCACAGTCAGCTTTTCAATTCATAAAGAAGAGTGTATTTTATTTCAGACTTAAAACAAAACTATTACAGCATTCCAAACAGTGTTCCTCTTTACTTTCTTAGTCTTATGTTCCTCTCTCTATCTCTGCTACCACCCCACACTCAATGACCAACTGCCCTAACTGTCTCTCTATTACCAACTGCCTTTCTCAACCAGCCAACCCACTCAAAAACCAACCAACTACCCACCCACAACTCCCAACGAACTAACCCCCAGAATTCCTCCCAGAACTCCTTTATAGACCCACTGACTCCACCCCCCTGGGTCCTGTCTGTGCAGCCTATTTAACTATTTCCCCTCCAGCACTCTCTCATATATGGTAACGTCACACCCGTGGTTAAAAAAAATTGCCAACCCCGATCTATGCAACCTCAAGGCTGTGCAATGTTTGCCTGTCAGCACTGCCACCACAAGTATATGCTGTGTTCTTGTAAATAAGCTTGCATACTCTGCAAGAAGCATTTTTAGACATTGCAGTTTTCAAGAAATCATTTTTTTTAAAAAAAAATATTTATTACTTTTCAAAAAATTTAAACACTAAAAAGACAATACAATACAGTACATTACAATACAATACATTAAAACAGAAATAATAAAATAAATCAAACAATTTCATTATCCCATCTTTCATTCACTTATTTCCACGACCTCCTCACACCTCCCTTTTTGTATTCCACTTCTGTTAATTATTTCAGCAATTCCTTTCCATCTTCCTCTGATTTCTATCCTATAATTATCTTAACTCATTCTAACCTTATTTTTTCCTTTAATACTCTATTAATCTATTTATACTTAATTCCTTATAACATTTCTACTAAAGCCATGTAACTTCATTCCAACATTTTTCTAACATTCATTAATTTTACAGTTTTCTGTAAATAGTCTTTAATTTTTTTTCCAGTCTTCTTCCACCGACTCTTCTCCCTGGTCTCGGATTCTACCAGTCATTTCTGCCAGTTCCATATAGTCCATCAATTTCATCTGCCATTCTTCCCGGGTAGGTAATTCTTGTGTCTTCCAACAGTTTTCAAGAAATCCTAAGGACACGAGGTCTTTCTCACAGCATGCTTGTGAGGCAACGCTTAGCTCACCCTCAGATCTCACCTACATGAGATAATGCGAAGACTAAACCTTAATCCTAGGAAAGAGATGGGAATCCAGAATCTGACTGGTGAAGAAAAGACCATTCCTTATTGCCCATAGCTGAGGTTTGGTCTTTAGTGTTTTCTGAAGGCAGGTTTGTTGAATTCCGGCTGTACCATTGGTGAGGAACCTCCAGATGATGGGCTGGATGCAGCTCCCTATCTAGTTCACTGGCATTTCTCCAGGTTCCATGTCTTCTCCTTGGCCCCCTTTGTAATCTCCGATCAGATGAGCAGATTGCAGGGAAGGTTAATGGCGGCTGAAATATCCTAGTTTAGGACTTCAAGACTGTAGGCAACATACAGGGAAAACCAGCTGATCTGCATGCCTTTGCTCAGCAGGTAGCTGGACATTAGTAGCTCCATGCAGTGAAGATAGCCCAGGCACAGCATCACAGATCCATTCCTTGTTGTTTAAAAATGGGAAAGACGGAGGAAAGAAAACAGCGTGCTTGCATATCAATGAATGACCAAGAGGTATGACTGGTAGCAGCACTCCTGCTAGCACCAGCTGCCTAATCCATAATATAATAAAAAGAATTGATGATGACAATGACAACAGTGATGATGCATCCAGCCCATCATCTGGAGGTTACCCATCCTATAGCAAAAAAAGTTTCCATTTATTTCACTAGGAGATAGGGATTAACAAATCTGTGGATTTAAATCAGGCATCCCCAACCTTTGGCCCTCCAGATGCTTTGGACTACAACTCCCATGATCCCTAGCTAACAGGACCAGTGGTCAGGGATGATGGGAATTGTAGTCCAAAACATCTGGAGGGCCAAAGGTTGGGGGTGCCTGATTTAAATTGTCTCAGTTTCTTATTTTCTCAGTCTTAAATTTGGGTCTCCGCATTTCCGCAGCAAATATAATAATAATAATAATAATAATAATAATAATAATAATAATAGCAACCACATGAAAATTTTCCTGCATTTTAGTATGAATTTCTCCCAATAAACACATTTTTTTTATGCACTCTTTGACTAATGCACACATTCTTGGAAGCATTTTCCAGAACATAATGCATTTTTGATGACATTTTCACGAATCTATTTGTTTTTATGCACACTTTCCCCTAACGTATGCATTTTTGTAAATATTGGTAAAATTTGGAGAATTCTGAAAGATTGCTGTGTTTTGGTTTTTGCATTGTTTCGCAATGTTTGGTACATTCCTCTTTAAATGTGAACTGATTCAAATCTCTTCCCCCATCCACACTCAGAGAAGACAGAAATCAGGGAATATCTTGATATGGATTTTTATTAGTCTGGCCTGCTCTTGTTGCAAAAATGAGAATTATTGTTGTGAATGCTTTTTCAGAATCCTTAACAGAATTTCCCCCCCTGCTATCCTTTCTTCTGCTTCTCTCAGATGAATACCTGCCTAGAGTATTCATGCCTTTTCTTTTCCAAAAGCAAAGCCCCAGCCACCTATTCACATGCAGAGTTTTAATCTGTGCTGCTCCCAGATGCAATCAAAAGCTTGCTCACCTCATTAGTTATACCTTATGGTCCATAGCATTGTGAAAACTTGTAGGAAGTGAGAATATGACTTCCATTCATGGTTTCAGGATGCAATCCTACCACCTACGTACGTTGGAGGAAGCCTAGTTTAACTCTACCAGTGAGCCACTCTTACAAGAGTCATGGAGCTGTTACCATCTTTCTTATCTCTATTTTACCATGGCATTGTTGAATGGTCACTTTAAAATGTGAAGGTTCATTATTGTTTCACAAGTTGTGTATGTCTTTAAGGGCCAGGGCATGTAACGAGACCCAGTCTTACAGCTGTGAAACATAGCAGGTGCTGCTATGTTGTGTTGATCAAGCTGCGTCAGCAATTGGGTACAGTATATAAGGAGCAGCACCTAGCTCTCCCATTTCCCTGGGGGATGGGTTGGTGGTTGGGTCATGTTTGTTGTTGTTATCTTTAGTGTAAAAGGAGTTTTTGGTTTTGTTTTTGTTATTAAAACCTTGTTAAAGTTTTTTTGAGTCCCTTGTTATGCATGGTCTCCCCAGCAAGCTCTCTTGCAGCACTACTAAGCTGCAAATAGCCAACAGGCATGTGGTACAGAATCAGTGCACAGTGCATTGTCCCATCCCATTGTAGAAAGTCAATGATGTGAGGCAGAAGCAAGGCAACATTCATGAACATAACCGAAAATACATAGATATGAAGGTTCATGTGGTTCTTCAAGAAGATCAAGGATTTGGAACCCTTATGAGGAATGGTTGAAGGAGCTGAGAATGTTTTGCCTCAAAAAGAGATGATATGATGCCCATCTTCAAATATCTCAAGGGCTGTCACGTGGAAGAGGGAACAAGCCTGTTTTCTCCAGGGTATGACTTGAACCAATGGCTTCAAGTTGCAAGGAAGGAGATTCCAACTAAACATCAGGAAAAACTTTCTGACTGTAAGAGCTGTTTGACAGTGGAACAGTCTCCCTCAGGAGTTTGTGGACTCTTCTTCCTTGGAGGTTTTCAAACAGAGGTTGGATGATCATCTGTCATGGATGCTTTAGCTGAGATTCCTACATTGCAAAGGGTTGGACTAGATGAACCTTGAGGTCTCTTCCAGCTCTAAGAGTCTATGATTCTAGGGCAGCCTTTCTCAACCTGTGGGTCCCCAGATGTTGTTGAACTACAACTCCCATCACCCCTAGCTAGCAAGGCCAGAGCTCAGGGATGATGGGAGTTGTAGTCCAACAACATCTGGGTACCCACAGGTTGAGAACCACTTTTCTAGGGTATCCTGGAAAATAGCATGGCTGGTTAGCTGGAACCCTGATCAGGAGCAATTATGATGATGGTGATGATACAAATTCATAAGGGATGGGGAGGGAAATTAAATTAATTTTCCATTTAAAAGTGAGCCCACCTAATTCACACTTTCAGAAACAATATGCCAACTGAAGCACATCTATCCTTTGAAATTCTCACTTCTCCAAACTTTGCAGTACAGATCTCCAGCCAAGCAGAGGTTCAATGGCCACATGTAATGGATGCTTTAGTTGAGATTCCTGGATTGCAGAAGGTTCCAAACTCTATAATTCTACGATTCTATGATTCATGCATATCTATTTCCCAAGTTAATGCAGAAGAAGGAAGTAACAGAATTGTGAATGGACACATATGAAAGTGACATGGTTTTGAAATAGAGCCATCAGTCTGGAAGTCACAGATTTCCTTGAACTTCTGGAGGAAGAACAGCAAAAAGAATGATAGCTCATGACAGAAGGACCTGGTGGCATAATTATGGCCATTTCTGATAATGGGAAATGGAGACCGTAATACAACAAAATGTCCTATGGCCACGCAGTAAGAACCTCCCTGCTCACCGTGTGAGACATCACAGGCAAAATTAGTTCAACTGAAGTAACATCAATGCCCTTGAGGTTTCCTGCTCCTGACAACTAATGAAGAGGCACTGCTGACTGTCAGGGAGTGGTGTGGGAGGCATTCATCTTTGTGGCAGAAGCAATTAAATCCACCAGGTTCTCTGAGCACGATGCGCATGGAAGGAGTTAAAGCCTCAGCCTTTGTTGTCCTGCAAAAGTTGGCGACATGTGAGGATAAGCATCTATGATGTGCCCAAAATGCACAGGCACCCCTTGATAGTTTCTTGAAAGGGTGGAGCAGTAGGGACCCACATATTTGTATAATGATACTGTTGGGTCGCTGGCATCCGTCTGTCTCAAGAGACAATGGATTGCGTCTCTGGGGGTGAAGTCAAACTGCTGTATTAGAAGAAGAAGAAGAGTTTGGATTTGATATTCCACTTTATCACTACCTGAAGGAGTCTCAAAGCGGCTAACATTCTCCTTTCCCTTCCTCCCCCACAACAAACACTCTGTGAGGTGAGTGGGGCTGAGAGACTTCAAAGAAGTGTGACTGGCCCAAGATCACCCAGCAGCTGCATGGGGAGGAGCAGGGAAGCGAACCCGGTTCACCAGATTACAAGTCTACCGCTCTTAACCACTACACCACACTGGGAACTCCCCAGGTACATTAATGTGCAGTGATCAGAAATGGCTTTCTTGGTGGGGCAGAGCTCCTATACGAGCTATGCAGCAGTCATGGCTAACTTAAATGCATTGATTTCAATAGGTCTACTCTGAGTAAGACTTAGATGCCACTCAATATATTGTGAATGCATATGTATCACATTAAATGCAGGACGCGGGTGGTGCTGTGATCTAAACCACTGAGTCTCTTGGGCTTGCTGATTAGAAGGTCGGTGGCTCGAATCCCCATGACAGAGTGAGCTCCCATTGCTCTGTCCCAGCTCTTGCCAACCTAGCAGTTCGAAAGTACACCAGTGCAAGCAGATAAATAGGTACCGCTGCGTCGGGAAGGTAAATGGCATTTCCGTGCACTCTGGCACTTGTCATGGTGTTCTGTTGCGCCAGAAGCGGTTTAGTCATGCTGGCCACATGACCTGGAAAGCTGTCTGTGGACAAATGCTGGCTTCCTCGGCTTGAAAGCGAGATGAGTGCCGCAACCCCATAGTCACCTTTGACTGGACTTAACCGCCCAGGGGTCCTTTACCTTTACCTATATATCACATGCTGCTGTTTTGAAGGTGGGTTGTTTCTGAACAGTAGGGGAGACTGTTGGTTTTATGAAATAAGACCTCCATCATGAGCCAAAAGAAAACCATCTTGCTTTGCTTGGATATGTCGAAACTCTCTGAGGAGGATTTTAGTTTAAAAACTAACAGACCATCACATCTGACATGGTAATTACTCATTAAACCCTTTGTGCCAAAAACCGCCCCATTTCCCCCTTTCTCACATTTTGAGCTCAGCAGAAATGAAGAGAGTTTGTGTCTTGAGAAATGATGTCTGGAAAGCCTCTCAAAAAATAATTCAGCACATCGTACCCATATTCCACAGGCCAGATTGCAGCATTTTGCATATCCTGCAATTAGCCATCATTTTAGAAACATATGTCTTCTCAATCACATAACCTTCTGCTCTGATACTATCCTGGCATCCAGTTCCTAAACACATTGGATGCAACCCAGACAAAGTTAGGCTTGCTTACTGTAAGTCTCCCTGAAATGATACAAATGGATCTTGCAGTCAAATCTCAGGCATGTCTCCTCATGGGGGGAAAAAGCCCAATAACTTCAGTGGGGCTAACTCCAAAGTATGTGCATACATAGGACTGAAAACTTAAATTGCAAACTGGGATTTTTAACATCCCGCTGGTTCAAATGGGACCTACATATTCATCACCTTCACTGGACTGAGTTAATTATGAAGCAGGGCTGGGGAAACTGAAGCCTTCCAGATGTTGCCACAACTGCCTCCACCCTATTGGCCATGCCGACTGGGGCTTCATTGTGGTCACAGAGCATGGGTGAGGAACCTGTGGCCCTCCAGATGTTGTTGGACCCCATCAGGCCCAGAGAGCACAGCCACTGGTCAGGGATGATAGGAGCTGATGTCCATCAACATCTAGGAAGGCCCCAGTTTATCCTCACCTGTTATAGGTTGCCATGCAGAAGACATTACGATATCTCCAGCTCGTGAAACGAAGCCTGCATTAATTTGTTTGGCTCCTTGGCTTAACATTTTAACTAAACCATCAAGGCGCCGTCATGACACCAACAGCAAACTGCTTCTGCTTCATGTTACAACTGTGCTGCAACTAGAAAAGGCCCCAGGTGTTCACCATTTCACAGATTACTCAGAGAATATACACAAGCGAAAACATCCCGCCGGTTTCCTTTCCCCTCCAACCCCCCCCCCCCAGATTAGAGCCTCAAGAAGCTCGTCGATTCTTCCCAGTGAAATTGAAATTTCAAAAGTGAATGCGGCGTCTTGGGAGAGAGACGTTGCTAGGATGAGGAAATGAAAACACGCCGCACCAGTGGGAACAACACAATTTGATATCAGTCTGTGACTACAAGAGCCAGAGCAGTAGAAAGATTAAGAAGAAAAACACTATCTAAAGCCCACCTGGCAATCGCTCGCGAGAGCTCTCGGGAGCCGGGTGGTGTCAAATGTTTTTTAAAGTGTGCTAACCCCCCCTCCCCACTCTCTTCTATCCATCCTGCCTAATGAAAAAAGCATTTTGATAGATCTCACAATGCTTTGAATTGCTCGTTTTTACAGCGGAGGTGATTTAGCAGCAGGCTGTGGAGGTTGGAAGCAAGCCATGGGAGGGAGGCTGTGCCATTTTTATTCCTTCGCTATGGAACTTTCCAAGTAGCCCAGGGAAAGTAATGAATACTGATCTGATGATAAGTGAGTTCTCTTCCTTAGGAGGAAAGTGACTCCACGCAGCAAGACCTATCAAGCCTGAAACAGCTAAGGGTGCAGTTACTTGGGGAAGGGCTGTGGCTCAGTGCTAGAACATCTTCTTTGCTTGCAGAAGGTCCCAGAATCAATCCCATGGCCTATGGGCTGGTTCGCCAGCTGCAGCCCCTTTTGCACAAATATTACTTGTCCACAGTACTTCATGTTCTGCTAACTTCCAGCTTGGATTACTGCAGTGCGCTCTACATGGGGCTTCCCTTGAAGAGGGTCTCAACTGGTCCAAAAGGCAGCAGGGTTTCCATTCAGAATGCACAGAACTCCCATCCTAAAACATTGGCTTGCTGTTCATTCCCAGGCCCGATTCAAGGTGTTCACATTAGTGTTTAAAGCCTTAAGTAACGTAAGCCCAAAACATACGCAAGACCACCTCCTTCCCTGCAGACCATCCTGGGTGTTAAGATCAGCAGAGCAGGCCCTCAGAAGATGTTCTTCTTACTGTGGAAGTTGTGGAATTCCCTCTCCAAAGAGGTGCATCTGGCTTCTTCACTATACAGTGGTACCTTGGTTCTCAAACTTAATCAGTTCCGGGAGTCCGTTTGACTCCTGAAACCATTCGGGGGGAAAGGTTTGGCTTCCAAATGGCTGTAGGAGCTTCCTGCACTCAAACGGAAGCCACATCGGACATTCAGCTTCTGAAAAACGTTCGCAAACTGGAATTCTGGGTTTGTGACATTCAGGAGCCAAGCCAAGCCAAGGTACCACTGTACAGCATTTGGCAGATGCTTAAGATGCATCTCTTTATCCTGGCCTTTGACACCTGAGATATTTGTTTGCAAAGCCCACCCTATTCCTGTGGTTGTACTCTGGTTTAACTGTTTTTAAAATTTCCATTTTAATTTTTCGTAACCTGCCCTAGGACCTGCCGGGGAAGGGCGGGCAAAAAATTTAATCATCATCGTCTTCCCTAGCATTTCCCCACAGGGCTGGGAAGGGCTTCTGACTGAAGCCCCGGACAGCCACTGGTAGTCAATGTAGACAATACTGAACTGCATAGACCAGTGGTCTGACTCAGTATTTGGCAGCTCCCTATGTTTCTACTTGAAGCGCTCCTTGCTTTTATGTGAATTGGCTCACTAGCTGCTGCATTCACCTTGTCTGTGTCATGGCCTTCTAGGACAAAACTGGTGGTGACATGCAAAAGGGCATGTGTTGGTCCCGGCCCCAAGAGATTAGGTTGCCCTCCTCTTTGTGTGTGCACTGCTAGCAACTGAAGACACTCCCTTTAAAACAGGGGTCAGCAAACTTTTTCAGCAGGGGGCCGGTCCATTGTCCCTCAGACCTTGTGGGGGGCCGGACTATATTTTGAAAAAAAATAATGAACAAATTCCTATGCCCCACAAATAACCCAGAGATGCATTTTAAATAAAAGCACACATTCTACTCATGTAAAAACATGCTGATTCCTGGACCGTCCGCAGGCCAGTTTTAGAAGGCGATTGGGCCAGATCCAGCCCCTGGGCCTTAGTTTGCCTACCTATGTTTTAAAACGAGCTTTTGATTCTGCTGCTACTTTAGGTATTGATCCAGAATTTTGTTACAATAATAAAAAAGTAACAAATATGTAAAACCCGAAACACTGATACATCATCACATTGATGTAGCACAGGTATATTAGACCAGGAGCTGCACAGCATTCAAAGACAGAGAAGATGTTTGGGTCTCATGCTGGGGCAGCAAGGCTGGTCAGGACCACGGAGAGCTCCAAGTCAACAGCATGTTCCTATGCACTCTTTGAACCACTGGAGCAACTGTAGAAGCTTTTGGTTCCAAAGGCTCATGGGAAGGTGCCCCTTAGTGTCCAGGCTTTGGTTCTATGTTTCCTAGAGCTATGGCAGGTGTCAACTTCTGTCTGCCAGCCTTAGGTTCAGTGGATTGCTGATGTTCAGAAGTAGGTTCAGAGTCCTGAACCTGATCCAGCTCCTTAGCTGGAGTCTCTGCAGCCTCCAACTCTGTGTCATGATTGCTGCTAGCATTAGATCAGGGAGTGAATCTCTCACTCAGTCATAATACATAGCAATGCGGGCTTCTCTTGGCATCGCCTCTTCCTCCCCTTTACCCAACCAGTCAGGAAACAAGGCCATGTTTTCTAGGAAACAGTGGTGCTTCTGGGATACGATACGATACGATAATCTTTATTGTCATTGTCCCATACAGAACAACGAAATTGAAAATGTACATCAGACATTCAGAAACCAACAAGCCTGCTATCTCAACTGTCCCAGCCTGGTTAGCCCCCTAAAAACTCTGATACCCCATAAGTAAATACAATATACTCCCACAGAGACTACCCTACACTGCGTTTAAAACCAAAATTGCATTTGAATAGAAACTGTTTCTCAGGCGGCTAGTCCTAGTCTTTATAACCCTGTACCTTCTTCCAGAAGCCAGAAGCTGAAAGAAATCATTTCTGGGGTGCGCACTATCCTGCACTATCTTTGCAGCTTTCTTATGACACCTGGAAGCATAGATTTGATCCAAGCTGGGAAGAGTGCACCCAATTATTCTCTCTGCAGTCTTTACAACTCTGGACAGCATTGTTTTTCCCCTGACTGTGCAGCTCCCAAACCACACACACAGACCATAAGTTAATACACTCTCAATAGTACAATGGTAAAATGCTATCAACAGGTCCTTTGAGAGATTATGTTTCCGGAGGATTCTCAGAAAATTATCCTCATGCCTACTTGGGTTGCCTTAGGAAATCGTGCAATATGTTAATATGCCCTCACACCCTATATGACACAGGGTGGCATCCAGTTGAACAATTCCGCTAGTGCAAGGACTTAGTGCTGTGCCATAGAGCTTGCCACCCCTCTTCTCTCCCCCAAGCAGCCCTTAAATTTGTTCCTACCATTCACTTCCTTTTTCTTTTTCCTAGTTTCCAAAAGTATTCTCCCCTCTTTCTACATATTTACTGGACATCTGGAAAGAGAAATGTTTTATTTCAACAAATATAAGCTGATTTCTAAAGTGCCTTTGCCTGATTGTAAGGCTTGGGGGATAGAGTAGGTGTGGGGAATTTTAACAGCTATCTGAGAAGAAACGGGTGGACTTATGTTATGTGTTTGCGAACATGTATAGCACACTAAAGTCAGAAAGTAACTACTTTCACTTGCTTTTGAGAAGAGTTTGGTCTACTGTAGTTTTTTTAAAAAAAATCATAACCTTATTTGAGAGTAATTCCATCAAACACAGTGTGGCTTACTTTCACAAGAGGCCTTTATAAGATTGGGAGCTTTCATTCAGGGTAAAAACTGAAGCAGGACAGTATTTTGCCTTTGCTGTACCCATCACCAGTTCTGGCTCCATACACCATCAAAATAATAATAATAATAATAATGCCTTCAGATGTCTTCTAAAAGTCTAGTAGTTGTTTTTCTCTTTGACCTCTGGTGGGAGGGTGTTCCAAAGGGCGGGTGCCACTACCAAGAAGGCCCTCTGCCTGGTTCCCTGTAACTTGGCTTCTCACAGTGAGGGAGCCAACAGAAGGCCCTCAGAGCTGGACCTCAGTGTCTGGGCAGAACAATGGGAGCGGAGACGCTCCTTCAGGTATACTGCGACATGCGTCCCCAATCGATGATCTTTGAGGGAATGTGGCCCTCAACATAAAAAAGGTCTGCCTCAAGAAGCAGGTGATGAGGAACAGCTCTGCCTGAACTAAAGAGCAGCTGCCATTAAATAGTCTGATCTAGTATAAGGGAACTTTCTATGTACAATCCAAGACACACTTTCCTGAGATTACCACTGAATTTGACAGCACAGAATCTGAGTAGAAATTTTATTAATGTATTTATGAGATTTCTCACCATAGGGTCCAGAGAAGGTTACAGTAACAAAAATATGCAATTATAAAACCAATGAAACTGTTACAATGCATAGGATTGCACAGTAATCAGGCAATCCTGTGCAAACTTAAACTGCATTCCTACATTAAGACGCATTGAACACAGTGCAACATAAATAGGATTGCACTGTCAAACTGAAAAGTCATACTTTTTTTTTACAATACGCTACTGATAAATCAAGAAGTCAATTTTTGAAAATGTTTTGAATATGTTGAAATCCAAATAAATTTGTATTATGTAAACCACCTATAAAGTTAATATATTTTATTAGATGAGGTGGGGGAAGGACACAAGTTTTCTTTTTTAATCTAACTGGCTATTTAAAAATGTAAATACAATTGTACACACATAGTTAATTGCACAGAATGGCCATCAACATATTTCTCTCTTTTGTATCCCCAGACACAGAATTCAAATATCACGCCACAATCCTACTCCCCCTTGCATTTTCAGAATAATTTACATGCATTGCCAACAAAGAAGCAAGAAATAGGGGGAAATGTTTTTGAAGCTGCCTACAGATTTAACATACAGATGCCAGATTGTCCCCAGTTGCCTTTGGACTGGTAAGGGAAACCTCAAGCTTTGTTGTATGCACAGTGAAGAATTATCAGGCTAAGAAAAACAGATTCCGGTGCCCTGTCGCTGCAGTAAAATACACTCAGTTTGAGTTCTGCATTTTTGTAAAATAAAGCAATGGTACGATTCAGTCTGGCATGAGCACTTACAACTAAGACCCCCACCACTGCAACTAGGATTTTGGTTTTCCCCTCTCATTTTGAGCTGGAGAGACATATTACAAATTACTTCCGAATGTGCCCCCCCCTCCCCACTTCCATAAGTGGTTTAACAAGGGTGGTCTCCCCCACAACTAGTGCAATATGTCAGCAAGACAGACACAGAGATCACTGAGAAATGGTGATTTCCTCAGGATTCCCCACACCAGGAGTTGCTGCTTTAGCAGAAATAGCAACAACAACAAACAGTGTCATGGCCACTAGGAAAGTAAGTGGTTGCCTGGGGTGGGTGGAAGGAGTTAACAACAACAACAACAACAACAACAACAATTTTATTTATATCCCGCCCTTCCCGGTTCAAAAACCGGGCTCAGGGCGGCTAACAACAAATTTAAAATGCTTAATTATAAAAGCAGCATAAAATACAGTATAAAAACATGAATAACAATAAAATTCAAAAATCAATTTAGGGGAAATAAACATTAGATAATCCCCAGGGCTAGCTGGCTGAATTGGTCCTACTTGGGCCAGTGAGGAGGCCAGGGGAGAATTAGCTGTGGGGTCTCAGAGTGGGTAATCTTCATAAAAGGGGAGGGGGAGGGAAGAGAAGGGAAATAAAAGATCGGGCTGAGTTCAAATTAAAGGCCAGGTGGAATAGCCCTGTCTTACAGGCCCAACGGAAGGAGGTTAAATCCTGTAGGGCCCTAGTCTCACCGGACAGAGCATTCCACCAGGAGGACCTCTAAACTATAGTTATTCATGGACCTTAAGGTCCTCTGCAGGGCACACCAGGAGAGGCGGTCCTGTAGATATGAGGGCCCTAAGCCACAAAGGGCTTTAAAGGTCAAGACCAGCACATTGAACCTGACCCTATACGCCACCGGGAGCCAGTGCAACCGGTAAAGCACTGGGTGAATATGCTCCCATGGCAGGGACCCAGTGAGGAGCCTCGCTGCAGCATTCTGCACCCGCTGGAGTTTGTGGGACAGTTTCAAGGGCAGCCCCGCGTGGAGCAAATTACAGTAGTCAAGGCTGGAGGTGACCGTCGCATGGATCCCTGTGGCCAGGTTGGGGCGGGAAAGGTAAGGGACCAACTGAGAAGAGAAGAGTCCAGTCCTTCTCTAGCTTAAGTTAAATTTGTATTGACTCAAGGGTTGTTGTTGTTGTTGTTTAAGAGAAATGGGCGCCATTGCATTCGGCATCGCATTGACCCAGCAAGCCAAGAAGGGGGAGACTCTTGGAAACAGAACATGAAAAATCAAAACACAATGAAGGCTGGTCCATTTGGCGAGTGTGGGGCAGTACCCCACCAAACTCAGTCTGCCCACGCTTGCTTGCCTTCTTGCTTTTAACCAATCCCTGGCCGTCAGCTTCCTCCTCTTCCTTAATCTCAGTGTCATAGAACTCAGCAAGGGGTGGTGGCAAAAGCAGAATTAATTGGCTCTGCCTCTCATTGGCTCTGGCTCCATCTAATGGTTAGTTTCTTGTCTTCTGCCCTTCTAGCTCCAGTGGGCACCAGCCATCTCTGAACACCTACACTGCCGCCATTCAAGACGCTTGCAAGGTAGAAATGAAGCTAGATGCCACAAGGATCGATGGGTGTCTTTGTATACATAGAATAAAGCCACTGATCATAAAATCGAAAGGGACTTCAAAGATCATCTTATCCTGTCCTGGCTGATGCAGGGAAATCTGTTGTATAGAACAGTATTTGTTGTAGGTTTCTTATTGGTGAAACATAAAGCCAATGGAAGAAGATGGGCAATGTTATTGTTGGAAGGATAACACTGCGAGATGTCCATCCAGATTCAAGCACAAAAATCTGGGAAGCAATAATCTTCTGCTACTTCCCAGTGCTACTGTTAGCAACAAATTTCTGGCCTGGATAGGTCATGGAGAAACATTCTCTTGTTACTACACCATTGGGATCAATAGGGGGCTTGCAAACAATATACCATACACAGGGGTAGTGAGAGAATGCCCATCTTTGCATTAATTTGATTTGTGCTTCCATCAGTGGCTCCCGAAGTAGGCAAGGATGGTATGAATCAGTGATTTTTTTGTGGCGCCAGATGTAAGTGTCCCCAAGCAAGCAGCAAGCAGAGGGCAACTGGATGCACAAACTTGTTTGACAATATAGCCAACTGCACATGTGATACGCAACAATTATCCAGAACTGCATTGTGAACATCATGGTTAAGTGTTCTCAGAGCACAGAAAGATGGAAATAAAAGAGATACATTCTGTGTATGGCTAAAAAAATAAAGGGTATTCCTGAATCAGACCGTGGCACTTTTTGAATATTTGGCTATGCATTATCAAACCTCTAAATGCAGACTTACTCTGAAATGTTTTCATCTACATTTCCTGAGCTAAAAGTAGTTGGGCAATTATGCCTGCTTTCAGAGATTTAGGAAGATTGGCCCATTTGCTTTCCTGTCAAATTGGCAGTAAAAGAAAAAAGGAAATAAATCTGGACATTTGGGACGTTATGTGATTCATGTTGTTTTCTGCGTCAGCAGTTCCTGCATACAAAATGCTGCCGATACTCAGAACTATATAAGAAGCCATGCTACATGCATGCTAGGCAAAACCCAAGCATTCGGGCTAGCCGCGCGAGTACTTTGTATTTGTCAATAGTACCTGAAATCAGCTCAGCTGCTGTAGCTACACAAAGCAAAAAACCCAGATTTATTTATGGCCTAGAGGCCCGAGGGGTTTTGCACAAACAGAAATGGGTTGATACTGATTGATGCACCAACCTGAGACTGCAAAACATGACGAAGTGTGCGAGAGCCATGGTGCAGCGACTGAAAGTGCATTTCTAATTCTAGGCAAAAGGAATGGAGCCTCTGTGAGATGGAAGCTTAACAAAGGCAGCATTCCACAGGCAGTTCTTTTTAATCAAGAAAGGTATGGAAATTATTGCTCTTAAGTGTGAAGATTAGATTCTCTCTAAGTGGATCTCAAGCCTTATTCAAACATCTACGCTTCTCTTAAGATAGAGAAAGAGTTACATGGTGAGCTCTTTGGGCTGAATCGAAGAACCAGTGCAGCAGCTGAGTCAGTAAAGAAGGTTTGCAAGAGCCAGGAGTGCTGTACACCCAACTTCTATCATGTTTTATGCAGAGCTCTGCATAGCTGTCAAGCGTCCCTTATTTGGCGGGACAGTCCCTTATCCCAGCGCCATGTCCCGCTGCTGTCCCTTATCGATGAGGCTTCGTTTGGCTGCTGGCTGGGCTTTCTGCCTTTGGCTCAGAAGGGCTCAGAAGTTGAACATACCTGTGCCCGGAAAATCCCTTATTTTGGCTGCTGATCCCTTATTTTTGAGGCTGCTGGTCCCTTATTTTCAAATCTGTAAGTTGACAGCTATGGAGCTCTGTACAAATGGCCTCTTGATGTTCCTTCATGGGTAGAGAAACTGGGAGGACAATTTCCCTGAATTTCTCCAGTCGCTGCTTTGCTGCAACTGCGATGGCAACCTGGCTATCCTTTCTGTATTCTGTCACAGTTTCCCAGACATCAGGCCAGCACATTTTGGGAAGGAAATGGTGGCCATCTGGAGAATATTTGGGGGAAAGTGTGCAAAGTGGCATAGATAGATAGATAGATAGATAGATAGATAGATATAGATATTTATTAAAATTTTCAAGATATTACAAAATGAAAAAAGAAAAAAGAAAAATACAAAATAAAAGTAGTTAAAAACAACTCAATCTTTCCGTTACAGTGGTGCCCCGCAAGACGAACGCCTCGCAAGACGAAAAACTCGCAAGACGAAAGGTTTTTTCGTTTTCGAGTTGCTTCGCAAGACGAATGTCCCTATGGGCTTGCTTCGCAAGACGAAAACGTCTTGCAAGTTTGTTTCCTTTTCGTAAAACCGTTAAAACCCAGGGTGCATTGCTGGAAGAGGTGCAGTTGCGACTTGACCTCGAGGAGCAACACATTGCACGCGGTGTGGTGGCCTTTCTGAGCTTTTTAAAGAGTTTGCTGGATTTTTGAAGCTTTTCCAAAACTTCTTCTACAGCTGTTTGGTAAGTTGAACTTTTAAAACTTTTTTGGGTTTTTGGGATTTTGGGTTGGGGTGTTTAGAATTCAAGGACTTGGTGTTGGGGAGAGGTTTGCAAGAATCTGGGAGCTTGTGTGGTTTTTTTCTGCATTTTTATGATTTTCTGTGACCATTGGGCCATGTTTATTTTTTTTTTAAAAAAAAATCTGGCTTTGAATTTTTGAATTTCTGTGTGCTGGGTGGATGGGGGAACAGCTGGGGAGGTGTTTGCAAGAATCTGGGAGCTTGTGTGCTTTTTTTTGAATTTTTATGATTTTTTGTGACCAGTGGGCCATGTTGTTTTTTTTTGAAAAAAGTTTCTGGGTTTTAAATTTCTGTGTGCTGGGTGGATGGGGGAACAGCTGGGGAGGTGTTTGCAAGAATCTGGGAGCTTGTGTGCTTTTTTTTGAATTTTTATGATTTTTTGTGACCATTGGGCCATTTTTTTTTTTTTTGAAAATAGTTTCTTTGTTTTTAATTTCTGTGTGCTGGGTGGATGGGGGAACAGCTGGGGAGGTGTTTGCAAGAATCTGGGAGCTTGTGTGCTTTTTTTTGAATTTTTATGATTTTTTGTGACCATTGGGCCATGTTGTTGTTTTTTGAAAAAAGTTTCTGGGTTTTAAATTTCTGTGTGCTGGGTGGATGGGGGAACAGCTGGGGAGGTGTTTGCAAGAATCTGGGAGCTTGTGTGCTTTTTTTTGAATTTTTATGGTTTTCTGTGACCATTGGGCCATGTTGTTGTTTTTTGAAAAAAGTTTCTGGGTTTTAAATTTCTGTGTGCTGGGTGGATGGGGGAACAGCTGGGGAGGTGTTTGCAAGAATCTGGGAGCTTGTGTGCTTTTTTTTGAATTTTTATGGTTTTCTGTGACCATTGGGCCATGTTGTTGTTTTTTGAAAAAAGTTTCTGGGTTTTAAATTTCTGTGTGCTGGGTGGATGGGGGAACAGCTGGGGAGGTGTTTGCAAGAATCTGGGAGCTTGTGTGCTTTTTTTGAATTTTTATGGTTTTCTGTAACCATTGGGCCATGTTGTTTTTTTTGAAAAAGTTTCTGGGTTTTGAATTTCTGTGTGCTGGGTGGCTGGGGGAACAGCTGGGGAGGTGTTTGCAAGAATCTGGGAGATTGTGAGCTTTTAAATGAATATATATGGTTTTCTGTAACCATAGGGCCAGGTTGTTTATTTTTTGAAAAAATTTCTGGGTTTTGAATTTCTGTGTGCTGGGTGGCTGGGGGAACAGTTGAGGAGGGGTTTGCAGGAATCTGGGAGCTTGTGTGCTTTTTTTGAATTTTTATGGTTTTCTGTAACCATTGGGCCATGTTGTTGTTTTTTGAAAAATTTTCTGGGTTTTGAATTTCTGTGTGCTGGGTGGCTGGTGGAACAGTTGAGGAGGGGTTTGCAGGAATCTGGGAGCTTGTGTGCTTTTTTTTTAATTTTTATGGTTTTCTGTAACCATTGGGCCATGTTGTTTTTTTTGAAAAATTTTCTGGGTTTTGAATTTCTGTGTGCTGGGTGGCTGGGGAACAGTTGAGGAGGGGTTTGCAACAGTTGGGGAGGGGTTTGCAACAGTTGGGGAGGGGCTGGGGGAACAGTTGAGGTTTTTGAAGACTTTGGTGATTTTTAAAGCTTTCCCAAAACTTCTTTTGCAGCCATTTGAGGATTTTGAAGACTTTGGTGATTTGCAGCCATTTCGTAAGTTAAACTTTTAAAACTTTTTTGGGGTTTTTGGATTTTGGGTTGGGTGTTTGGAATTCAAGGACTTGGTTGTGGGTTTGAATTGCTGATTTTTTTTTCTTTTCTGAGTTTTACAAAGGTAACAGCTGTGCTGCCATGGGACCCAAGAAGACTGCTGCTGCTGCGGAGGCCGGCGAGAGGAAGAAGGAGAAGGTGACGCTGGAGATGAAGAAGGAGATCATCCGGAAGCACGACGGTGGAATGCGTGTGACGGACCTCGCCAGGGAGTACGGCAGGAACCCATCGACCATCGGGACCATCCTGAAGATGAGGGAGAAGATCCTTGCGACTGATGCAGCCAAGGGAGTCACCAGGATCGTGAAGAACCGCCCAGCTGTTCTGGAGGAGGTCGAGAAGTTGCTCCTCATCTGGATAGAAGAGAAGCAGCGTGCAGGGGACACAGTGACTGAGGCCGTGATTTGTGAGAAGGCCAAGGCCTTGCACGCAGACCTCATCCGGGAACAGCCAGGAACCTCGGCCGAGCCAGAAGTCTTCAAGGCAAGCAGAGGCTGGTTTGACCGGTTCAAGGCAAGATCCGGAATCCACAGCGTGGTCAGGCATGGAGAGGCTGCCAGTTCTGATGTTTCTGCGGCTGAAGACTTTGCCTTGGAGTTCCTGGAGGTTGTGAAGACGGAGGGCTACGTTCCACAGCAGGTCTTCAACTGCGACGAGACCGGGCTGTTTTGGAAGAGGATGCCCAAAAGGACTTTCATCACTCAGGAGGAGGCCAAGTTGCCTGGCCACAAGCCCATGAAGGACCGTCTGACCCTGCTCTTCTGTGCCAACGCAAGCGGCGACCTGAAGATCAAGCCCCTGCTGGTGTACCACTCGGAGAACCCACGGGCCTTCAAGAAACACAAGGTCGACAAGGAGCGGCTGAGTGTCATGTGGCGATCCAACAGCAAGGCTTGGGTCACACGTGTGCTGTTTGTGGACTGGGTCAATCTTGCCTTTGGCCCTGCTGTCAAACAGTACCTGCTGGACAATGACCTGCCGCTGAAGGCTTTGCTTCTGATGGACAATGCTCCTGCTCATCCTAAAGGCCTTGAGGTGGACTTGTTGGAGGAGTTCAGCTTCATCAACATCATGTTCCTGCCGCCTAACACCACGCCACTGCTCCAGCCGATGGATCAGCAGGTCATCGCCAATTTCAAGAAACTCTACACCAAGGAGCTTTTCAGGCGATGCTTCGAGGTGACTGATTGCACCACCATCACCCTGCGGGAATTCTGGAAGGACCACTTCGACATCGTCACCTGCTTGAAGATGATCACCACGGCCTGGAAGGGGATCAGCCAGAGGAATTTGAATTGCGCTTGGCGCAGCCTGTGGCCGGACTGTGTGGCACCAAGTGACTCTGATGCACCAGAGTCGACAGTGGTGCAGGACATTGTTGCCTTGGGGAGGACCTTGGGCCTGGAGGTCACAGAGGAGGACGTTTGCGAGCTGGTGGAGGAGCACGACGACGAGCTGACCACCCAGGAGCTGGTTGAACTGCAGTCAGAGGTTGCGCAGGAGCAGGCCTCGCTGGAAGAGGAGGAAGCAACTGAGGAACGGCTGTCCTCCAAAGAACTGAGGGACATTTGCCAGAAGTGGAATGAGGTGCAGGCTTTTGCAGAGCGGCACCACCCTGACAAGCACGTGGCACATGACCAAGCGAACATTTTTGATACGACGGTCATGTCGCCTCTCAGGGAGCTGCTGAAACGGCGGATGAAGCAGCAGACCATGGACAGGTTCCTCAGCAAGAAGCAAAGAGTGGAAGAGGAACCTTCTTCGAGTGGTCCCCAGAGTCTTAGAAAATGTAATGTACCCTTTTTGATTTTTAAATGTTTTTCCTGTCATGTTTAGAAACTTAATTTATTGTTCCTTCAATTTTGATATGCTCTTTAAAGTATGTGTGACTTTAAAGAGCAGTTAATAAACTCTTGTTGTACCGAATTTGGCTTTGATTGGACTTTTTTTGACCATAGGAACGCATTAATTGAATTTCAATGCATTCCTATGGGATTTCGTGCTTCGCAAGACGAAAAATTCGCTAGACGAAAAAACTCGCGGAACGAATTAATTTCGTCTTGCGAGGCACCACTGTACTTATCTTTCATTTGCTTGTTTCCTGGACCTCCTCGCGCCTCCCTTTTTTGTATTCCAATTCAGTTTGTTAGTTCAGCAAATCCTTCCCCTCTTTGTTTATCCTAGTCTTTAATCTTAAAATATTGTAACATTAAATTTTTACCTATTAATAATCCATTTTTCATATTCCCTTATAATATTACAGCTAAAAACCACTTAATTTCTATCCAACATCATTCTAACATTCATTAATTTTGCAATATTTCTGTAAATAGTCTTTAAACTTTTTCCAGTCTTCTTACACCGAATTTTTTATTTTAGGGGAGTGAGGGAAAAATAAAAATCACAGAAAAAACTGTGAGAAATTTCAACTCGGTCTAAAAACAACAACATACTAATGTGCAATGTTATCAAACACTGAACTGGGGTTGCCAGAAAATAAAAATAAAATAAAATGCTAATAGAATAAAATCCCAATCATGTTTCAACCAATGTTGCATTACGTTATCCTTTTTAAATATCTTTTCTGGATTGGACTGAAAGTTCAGCAACAAGCAATGTACTTTTAACCCTGATGACACAACCCAGTTTGATCATCCTTTTTTCCAGTAGACCCATTCAAATGAATAAACATGACTAAGTTAGGTCACTTGATTTCAATGGGTTGTCTTGGAGTAAAACCTACTTGAATAGCAGCACCCATGATAACAGAATCCACAACTAAACTGGGTCATACTAGGCCTTAGAATATACTGGCCTTCTACAGCAAAAAGTGAAAAGGAAAATGATACACATCAACACTCAGTTAAATACCACACACACACACAGATATATCAGTATTTAAGCCACAAAGATCCTGTCCCCATTGCTGGTTCAAAGCAGCCTAATCTGGAACATAGTTCCCACACAGAAACTTCTGTAATCATATGACAAAATACATGAGGGTGGAGGAAGTTGAATAAGGAAAACTGGATATGGTTTAGAGCTCTCCCCCCCCCCCCATATTTTCTCCAGGGAAATAATAATCAAATGCATCTGACTAACCTCTCTGGCCTTCAGCTGCATCAATTAACATTTAGCCATGGATTCCACTCTTGGCCAGCCTACATTTGCCTGTATTGTTCTGCATAAATATTTTCAAGCCTGGAATTTCATGCCTTTTAAACCGAGGAGGATGTATGCGTGTCTTCAACGGGTTTTTTAATTTAAAGAAAAAACAAAATTACAATAGCAACTTTAGGCGAAAACAATTCAACAGCCAGATAAGTGTTGGTGGGGTAGTATAAATGCCGTAGATGTCTGAATTTTCTTCCACTAGTTGTTTCTTCATGTCATTTATATCCTACCAGTCCTGAAGGAACCCAGGCAGCAATTCTATGAAGAGACTATTAATTCAATAGAATGTTTTTAGTGTGCGCTCTCTCTCTCTCAGCCCTCATTCAGGAAGACCCCTGAACAAAGTGATGAGGTGATGAAGATCCTGAACTAATCCATATCTTTAGCACCATCTTCCAGCAATAGCAGGAATCCAATCTATTTTCCCTATCTCCGATATTCCTGGCCACAGCCAATGCTGCCATTGGACAAATGGAACATCTGTCCATTATGCTAAGCCTGTGGGGAATGCTAGAGAAAGCCAATTGCTGGCCACCAGCACAGCAAAGCTTCCCTCACTGTGTCATTGGCTCCAAGCTGGAGTCCATTAGAACTTTGGTTTCCCATGAAACTGTAAGACACACATTGACTTCTGCATCAGATAAGGTGGGGGAGGGGGTGTACCAAAAATGAGGAAGCATGCACGAAAAATAATTCTCTGTCCAGGATGACCTATTACAGTATTTCATTCCAAAGTCTTAAGAATGAACAGGAAATGTTTTCTGCACTAGCACTGCTCATTTACATATTTAAAATCATTTCCAAAATGCTTAATATTTTTAAACTCTTCCAAGTGGGAGAAACTATGTGCAATATAAAAACCAATATCCATTAAGACAAAAATACAGAATGAAATGAATAAAATGATATAAAAGCAAATAAAACAGAGATTCTGGGGATTCACACACATAAATCAGGGTCGAGTCGTATGGGTCCGGGTTGCTGGCATCCATCTGTCTCGAGAGGCAAGGGAGTGTGCCTCCGGGGGTGAAATCCAACCACTGTGTTAGCAGCAATGAAGTA